CACTGAAAGATACGCATGACAATCGCAGCTTCTGTCGAATCGCGATCTCGATTCCATTTCGATTTATCGTGCAGCCCTCATAATTACTGATTATAATGACTTATACTGTTACGCGCTATCGTGCGTATCGCGCTGCGTAAACATAAAACCATGTCTGCATTTGTGATCGGAGAAACAACAAGCCACTGCTCAAAACTCGCATATGAATCAACAGTGGCAAATTATTTAAATATAAAAAACATACTTACAGGCTGTGGGTCAGAAGCACCAGACTGTCCTTGCAAAGTTGGAACTGCCCCACTTTATAGAAACAGCCTTTGTGCCACAGACGCATTGTAGGCTACTGGTTCAGGAAACAGTCCTCATCCTCCATAAAATGTGCTGCACACATCTGAATATTTGGGTTGAACTGTTCTGGAACAGTGTTGTAAATACAACTTAACCACTGATTTCTAGTTGTGTCCTCTTTTGGCAGGCCAAACAAAGTAGTTTCGCTTTCATAACGAAACACAGCGTCTCCACAACATGGCGGCGGCGGCAACAGCAAGAATTAAAGTTACGCCTTCTTTTTTTGCGTGAACATTTGGTGAAGTGATTTATGTGTTGGTACTTTTTGAACATCTCCAGCACATTTTAACAATACCATGATAATACTGATAACCGTGATAATTTTGGTCACTATAATCGTATAATAATAATAATAATAATTCTTAGAATGTTCTTTTTCATATTTTGAACATGTACAGCAAAAATGACTTTCTTACTTAGTATTTTTGTCTTTTTTTCCCAAATATTAACAAATATTTATGCATTCTTGAATCATGATACATTTATTGGAGAAGCTAAATGATTCGAGTGAATTTGTGCTTAAAACAAGAAATTGGGTCAGAATATATATATATATATATATATACCTCACTGGTGGATATTTTAGGCATAAACTCACTTAATTTTGATAAATTTTTCAGACAAGAGTTAATATATTAATTAATTTTGCTTCACAAATAAATGTATCTTGATTTAAAGGGGTCATCGGATGCGAAATTCACTTTTGTTGTTGTTTGGACATAAATGTGTGTTGGAAGTGTGTGTACACATCCACTCTATAATGATAAAAATCCACCCAGTGTTTTTTTTTAAATCCCTATTTTAAAATCCTCTTTCTCAAATCAGGCTGTTCTGAGATTCCTGTCAGAATGACGTAGTTCTGCACAGGCCCCTCCCACGATAGTTGATTGACAAGGACGTTTTACCTTAGACCCGCCCTGAATGAGCTGTGAGCTGTCTGCCATTGTGTCGACTCCGGTGCAGGGAAAGACAAGAATGTCTCTGATTAAGCGATTGAGGTGTTCTGTTGTTGTATGTAATAATGAACATAGCAGTCATCATTTACTCCCGACATCTGAGCCGCTGAAGACGCAGAGGTACTTTCGTTTTTGAAGGAAATGCGCTAATCCCCGATCTGCCTAAATGCGTTTATGTTCGTGTGAATCATTCGTCATCCAGCTTCATCTGCAGAAGAAGTGAGTATAAGGGTTTTTTAATTAATCTTTGCAAATTTTACTTTGCTTTTACAGTATGCACGTCACCCCACGGAAGAGAGGGGCGGGGTCAGCAGAGCTCATTAGCATTTAAAGCAACACGGACTAGAATGGCGTGCTGAAAACAGAGCTGATTTTGACAGGGTAAAAAAGGTGTTTTTTACACTACCATTGAGAAATTTTAACCAAAGTATGTTATAAACTTTTCATTAAGATCCTAAAGAATCATATCAACTTGTGGAAAATTGGCATCCGATGTCCCCTTTAAGAATATTTTGATATTTGTACTGAAAAATAAAACAAAAATGCTAAGTACGAAAATGTTTTTTGCCGTGCTTTTTTTTTTAGAATAACAATTTAAATTTCATTGTATTTCTCACATAAAGCTATTGTAGAGACTTAGAATATAGCATACAATATAATGCTTATTTTTTTGTTATTTTTTAAACCTGGTCCACTTTCATTGTATAGAAAAGTGAACTCTATTCGAAACCTGCCTTTTTGTATTTCACAGAATAAAGAAGCTCATATGGGTTTGGAACTTGAGAAAATAATGACATGAAAAATGACCTTTTTTTTTTTCTTTTGAGTTAACGGTTCCTTTAAGGCATCAAATCACACTAATGAGGTGACAATTTAAGTTGTTACATGTTTCCATTTTTGTCTATCCTGTCATGCAGGCTTCATGTAGACAATGACTTGCGAAGCCTGTTCATTTTCACAATTAGCTGTTAGATGTGGTCTGTTGTCAGTTTATTTTTCATCTTTCCTAAACTTCATTTAACACAATCGCTGACAAGAACATGAGAACATGAAGCAAAACATCTGCTGTCTGTACACACTAGCTTTTTAACCAGTTTAGATCAAGCAAATATGAAAATAAATGGTCATTGTTTTTTCAAACAATTAATTTCTTTTAATGTCAAACCAGATATGATCACATAATTCTACAACTCATTCAGCTTTTTGCTTGTGTCTCCAGGATACATTACTGTAGCTATTTCTTATGAGCACTAAATGTTTGTTTTGCCCAAACTTGACGCTTTTATAAATCGTTCCTAAGACATCACCGCAACAATGCAGCAAACTAGATCCAGACGTGTGTTTTAGATGTCTTTTAGTATCGTTTATGTACAAGGTGAACTGTCAAATGGCCTGTCTGAGAATCACATAAACCTAATAGGTTGAGATAAATGCTGTTTACCCACACATGCCTTTAAACAGTGCCCTTTAACTCCCCTTTAATTAGGTGCTGAAAAATAACGAGATGTTAATGAATTGTTCCTTGTAGCCTATGCCTAACAGATAGCCTTTAATTATTCCGCACTCTTCCATCTTCCTTTTCCTCCAGCAAAACAGCCAGCTGTCATGTAAGACGCTGAAGATTTACCTCCCAATCTTTAGGAATTTGATAAGGCTGTAACCCATCGCTCTCACAGCACTTTTTCTGCCATTTGACCCTGTGCTGGAAATATATTAACACTGCTGTATCTGCACAGGGGAATCAAGCAAGTGCTGATGCTTTGGAAATGCAGGCCTGATAAGAGGCAGTGCATGCTTGACATGAGCAGGCCACAAACTTGCAGCTTAAACCAACATCCAGCTGGCTTAAACATGCTCCTTAATATTCAGTGGGGATGTGATGCTGCGATAAAGTGTGTGTAGCTTTATCTTTTTACATTGTAGTTGTGCTATACGTCGAGATGTGTTAACTGCAACATTTCTGAAACATATAAAAAGAAATCAATGTAAAAACAAACAAAAATATTAAATCATTGTTTTGGCCAACAGATATGGTTAATAATCAACTGTATAAAATAACGACATTGCACTGATAAAATGTGAGAACCTGACATTATAAAAATGTAAGATGTGTGTCTCCCGTATTTATCATCAGCTCATTAGCAGAGAGCTACATGAACTGAATTGGTCTGTCAGATAATGAATATGTAATTAAATTCAATTAAGTTTTCTTAATTTAATACTATTTTAAACATGTTTAAACACACACACACACACACACACACACACACACACACACAGAGACTTTATACAGCTGGAATTTCAAGACAAGTAAACACCTTTCCCCATTCTAATTAGTGTAATATATAAAAATATTGATATATTATTAGTGGTAATGACTACAGAATTACTAAATTAAAAAGAAAAAAAAAGAAAAATACCCAAGGCAAAAACTGTCTTAAATTTTTTCTCATTAAAAGTTAGTAATACTTTTTTCAGCAAGGACACATTAAATTGAACTAAAGTGTCAGTAAAGACAAATGTCACAAAAGATTTCTATTTTAAATAAATGCTTGTTCTTTTTAACTTTCCATTCATCACATAATCCTGAAAAAAAATGTATCACAGTTTCCACAAAATATGAAGCAGCACACTTGTTTTCAACTTTGATAATAATTAAAATCAGAATATTAGAAACACCTTTGAAGCATCATATGGACTAGAGTAAAAACTGTTATTTTCAATTATAATAATATTTCACAATATTAATGGATTTACTGTATTTTTGATTAAATAACTGCAGACTTGATGAGAAAGTACGAAGAAAGTAGCAATAAGAAGAACGAGAAGTTAATTCTATTCATCTCCTCACTATTTTTTCCCATTACCATATTTTTTATTACAAGTAATATAGTTTTAGGCGCTACTCAACTACATTCTTTAACCGCGCACTCATCACACTGCTCTGCTCGTCGAGTGTTTACGGTAGCTCGCGCCTCTTGTCCTGCTAGTAGTTCTCGTGCTAGTTAGTAGTTTAATCGCTCATTTCGTGAGCGTGGGTTGACAGCTCTCTCCTTGTTGCTGAGTCGTCCCAGAACTTCACGTCAAGATTATGGGCTTTGACCTAGACCGTTTCGAAGGTCCCGTGGATCCGGACCTAATCTGTAAACTGTGTGGGAAAGTTCTAGAGGATCCTCTCAGCACTCCGTGCGGACATGTCTTCTGCGCTGCCTGCGTGCTCCAGTGGCTCTCCAAAGTCAGCAGCTGCCCTGTCCAGTGCCAGAAGATCTCCACCAAAGAGCTGAACCACGTCCTGCCCCTAAAAAACCTCATTCTCAAGCTGGACATCAAATGCGACCACCGTGAACGAGGCTGCAACCGGGTGATGAAGCTCCAGCATCTGTCAGAGCACGCGGAGACTTGCGAATTCTCTCCGGTGAGATGCGGGAATGAAGGATGCGACGCGGTGCTCAGCTTGAAGGATGTGGCTTCGCACATGCGGGAGGGATGCGAGCGCAGGGCCGTGGAGGTCTGTAAGGATGGATGTGGACTCGCGCTGACCCTCAAGGAGAGGTCCGAGGCTCACAGCTGTCTCCAAGCTCTCAAGACACACAGCGGTCTCCTCCAAACCAAAGTGCTGAGTCTGGAGAAGGAGCTGAAGCGCCAGTCGCTGAGCTTCAGTAAGAGGGAGAGATCTCTCCTCTCCAAACTCTCCGCGCTCCACTGTGAGCTGCACATCACAGCGCTCACATTTCAGAAGAAAATCACCGAGTACAAGAGCAGGATTGACGCGCTGTCAAACAGCTGGATGCCTCTCGATAAGGTCAGTATGAGTTGTGAATTGAGTGAACAGTGCAACAAAAATCAACCCTCAAAAACTGGAAGCTTCAGTTTAAATTTGTAAGTCAAATCAAAGTGACAACCTGTAGCGATTACCTGTTCACTTTGAATTGAATTACTGATCAAGTTGAACCTGTGGGAACTTGAGTAGACCTGAAATCATTGTGACAAGTTAAATCCATGGGAACAAAGATATTTTCTAACACGTGGTAAACATTTTACTCAAAAATGCTGATTAATACTACTGACAAGGCCTGCTATGAATGTTTTGTGGGAAACAAAGATAAAAGCTGGATAAGATAAAGTTAATTTAACCCTGAACTGTAGTGTGGCATGTTGTGACAATGTCAACCAGCTGACACTTTAAAAAAAAAATAGTAACTCTTTTAAAATATGCAATATTATAGGCTGATTAATATCCATCATACCACTCTTGAAAACAAAAGTAAACATAAAAAAATGTTAAACCATTTGCATGGATGCAATTAACACTGTATAAAGTTCCTATTGTGTTGCTGACAATTACTTCAAGTGGTTTTGTATTCTCTTGTTTACCCAAGAGCAAATATTACAAAAGTATGATGACTTATATGATACAATTGGAAAACAAACATTTCACTTTTTTATTAAAACCTGTACACTTTCAGAAATAAATGTGCAAAAACTGTATGTTTAGGGGTGCACAGCCTGTCACTTAAACCTAAAAGGTTCGTAGAAGTGCCTTAAAGGGATAGTACACCCAAAAATGAAAATTTTGTTATCATTGACTCACCCTCAACTTCTATGACTGATTTTCATCTGTGAAACTTGAGAGAAGATATTTTGAAGATTGTTGGTAACCAAAAGGTTTCTGTTCCCATTGACGTCCATTATACTTTTTGATCACATTGGAAGTCAATGGGACCCAAAACAAACATTCTTCAAAGTATCTTCTTTTATTTTACACAGAAGAAACTACAGGTTTCAAACAACATGAGGGTGCGCAAATGATATCTTTATTACTACTGGAAGGTATTAATATTCACCTTTTAGCAGTAGATAGGGTGAAATTATATCCCTTTACTGGTACTATCCCAATGACTAGCAAACTTTTTGCACAGTTTTTCTAACAGTGTATAATTGATACAGTATATAACCATTGGGATACAGTATATAAGCCCAAATCTTCCATCATAAAGTAATAGTTGCTGGAATCCACTGAATGTTTGTTTGAATCTGGATCTTTTATATGAAGTACTTTTATATAATAAGATTTTTCTGTTGATTAATCCACACTGAGATTTCTTAACTAAGAGTCTCTTAACTAAAAACACTTCACTGTCACCAAGCCAGCACTGTCAGTTCATTTTCATGTCAGTTTAAAGCATTCACACTTGAATGATCTAGATCTGAACAAGAGAAACATAACTTGAACGTCCTCATTCTGTATTCAAATGCTTTCACATAATTACACTGTCTCCCATCGTTTTCAAGCACTCTGAATGGTCTGTGAGACCAGCAAATTTAAGACTTAAGTCTAACTGAGTTGACAGGAGGCATGTCTTGTGGACTTCAAGGACATAATGTGTAAACAAAAGAGTCCCTTCTTGTTCTCTCAGCTCTCTGTGGTTGAGTCAGACACTAATCAAGAGCTCATGATGCTCGTCTCACTCAGTGTGACAGATTTCCGCCTGCAGCTGCCGTTTCAGCAGGGGATGCCACTGCTAGGACTGTTTGATAGACAGCTTACTTAAGTTCAGATATTTTAAGGCTATCTTAAATCTGTCATTCTTGAAAAGTCACAGGCCCTGCCTTGATTTTCACTCGGCCACATCTGCCTCATGACAGCTGATCAAACCCATCTGCTGAGAGATTTTGACGTCTGTCATGGAGTAGTATAACAAATATGGATTTAACTTTACTCGCCTTTCCCTTGTACATAACAAATGTTATTAAATAATCCAATTAATTTACATTTAGGGTCTAAAATAAACCTTCCTCCACACCTTCTGCTAATAGCGAGTGAATTTACAGGCCGAAAATTCTCTTACCAGCAATAAATATTTATCTTTTTGCCCTGATCCGAAGGAAAGCAGTGTGATTTCATTTCTTCTACACACTTCACTGTGTCGTGAGTGTGGTAAACACCTGGCCACACGTTCATAAATTATTTTCAGACATTTATAGCACCTTGACTGTGATTTTGCCAGGTGTCTCTGAGGGTGTGATCTGTCTCCACTGCTTGATATATGATAATCCCCTGAATCTCATGTGGCTTTGCCGTTTCATTAGGTAGCTAATGGAGAGAGCCCTGCTTCTTAGGGGAGAGATGGTTAGTAGGGTCAGTGAAGCTGTGTTGAAACCTGCTGTTGCAGCATCTGAAATATGTGATTTCTCTCTTTCTGTCCTATCTCTCTAACCCAGGGTGAAGAAACAAGGAGCCTTAAAGTCACCCTCCACAGAACATCATCAGGATCTCTTGGATTCAGTATCATTGGAGGAAGATTGTTTGGGGTATGTAAGCTTACTATGCAAAGATCTACCATGTAAGATTCATTTAGATCAAAAATGTACATTTTTTTAATCATCAAGAACCAAAAAGGACTCAAAAGCACCTTAAAAGTATTATAAAAGTAGTTCATAAGACTTATGTACACTAGTCTTCTGAAGCCATTTAATAGCTTTGTGTGAGAAAGCTTGAAATGAAGGTTGTTATTCACTGATAATCTTTGAAAAACATGCTTTTGAGCCATGTTCACCATTTACTTTGCATGATATGAAATCAGCTCGGACACTATATAGTTAGTGTTGTAATTAACTAATTTTGAATTATAATGGCAAAATAAATGTTCTGGGTTTGAATTCAGGTTGACTGGGACACCTTTTGCCATTGAAATGACTGGGGAAAAGTATCTCAATGAACCTCAATTCAGCCGGTTTATATTTCAATGACAGAAATAAACATGTAATGCTATGGAACACATTTGTAAAAGTGGGTTAGTTTGTCTTTTAGCCACAGAAGGCATTTGCGCAGTCTTTCCTAACTCAACCAACCCCGCCATTGTAAGAAAGAAAAACAAAATCAGCAACTGAGCCACATGTAAAAAGATAATTACAGATTGCACAGTTTGAGCTCCACACATTTCTCTCGAGTACATTGTGTGAAATGCGAGCGTGGGAGCCATTAAATTCTCACACAGATTGTGTCCAAGTGGAGAGAAGAGAGCAAGCTGTGGGTTTGGCTTTCACTCGCATCTAATCTAGTGGAGAATCACCACAGGCTGTTTACCACCTGTTCTGTCTTAATGGACAGCCGTAGTTAACCTTTTTTCAATGCAAGTTTATGCATGTTATACATACATTTATGTATAGAGAGCGTGCCCTTGAGTCAGGCTCATGCTTCATTCAGAATTAAGTTTATATTTCAATTTAATTCCCAGAATGCTCTAATTTAAGTCTCCAAAATGGAGCCAAACAACATGAAGGGGCTTACAAGATAACAAAAAAGTATCTGTTCTTCGTTTGTTAAACGAATGGACGTCTTCTGTTGTGTGATTGTTTTAAATTTCGTTGAATTACAATTTATGATTTTATTATTTAATTTAATTTTTTATTACAATTTAATATATAATGAAGAGTTTTATTTTATTATAATATTTCATTTATTATTTCAAAGGTTTATGTTCGAAGCCCATCCATATATTTTGTATTTATTATATTGTATTTCTGCTATCATCGTGTAATAATGACAAAGCTGCTTGTTTTCAAACTTTTCGTTGTAACTGTATGTTTACAGTTACATTTATGCATTTAGTATTATTCATTTAGTATGTTCCTCAATAAAAACAATAGTTATGGATTTTTTGTTATTAGTTATTGATCGTTTGTTTTTTAGCATTTTAATTTAGATATGAGTTAGATTATTTTAATATATTAATGATATTTTTAATTAAACTTTACATTCTCTTAAATGATTCATTTTTGAATACTTTTAAGTCATTCTACAGCCACTTTGTGAATCTGCTGAGTAACACAATTAAGTTTTCACAATTAAGACAGTGTTTCTCCTGGTTGAGAAACACTGTCATAAATGAAAGAATATCTAACAATTTATGCAAATTGAATTTAAACTAATTTCAGCTAAACTTTATTTTAATTAAGTAGTCTAATTTTCAACATTTGCTTCTATCTAAGGAACCAGAGCAGCATGGGGATTTCAGTGATGGCATCTATGTATCCAAGATAGTGGAAAACGGAGCAGCTGACAAGGCCGGACTGCATGTTCATGACAGGATCATTGAGGTTTGTCAGCTGATTTTATGAATGCAGAATTTACTTTTAAATTGAAGGTAGCACAAGTTTTTTCTTAGACAGGATGAAGACCAAAATGCTGAATGCAATCAAACTCCACACTGTGGAAGAAAAAGGTCACCAAGACAACCACTAGACAGATGAAAGCCAAACGAGATAGACATCATACCGCTAGTCTGAGCTGCTCAACTGGTGCCAATGTTTTCACAGTCTGTTTGATAGATTTGTCAGATCTAGTCAGAATAACAATGCTGGCGCCATTGTAGGTTGATTTCACACTGGGCAGACTTCTTTAAAAAGGGTGTTAGTCTGTTCATCCAGCAGTACTGTTTCACATATCTAACAGGAACAAAGTGTTTCATATATAAAAGAGAATGCTTTCTATAAGGGCACATAACAATGACAACACAACATCAAGATATAGTAGCTTGTAAATATCTACGAAATGTGACATCTGTGCCCATCCAGAATGCTGTTAAAACATTGGCTTGTCGTTGAATGTCTAAGAAAAAAACCCATGTTTTCACTGAGTGGCCTCTTATATGAGCAGAGCAGAGCATGATGATTTCTTTCTCGACTCACTTTGTCTCATGTGGGCTCTTTGCTGTCTGTCTGACGTGATGAACATAACAATGGCAGCAGTGCCTTTTGAAATTTGTGCATCCCACTCGATTTGTTCCCCAAAGAATGCATGATACAACTGCTGGTTTCAAAGAGGAAGTCAGCCATGTAGCTTTTGTGGTGGTCTCATGGCTCGCTTTTATAAACAGAGAAGGTACAATTGGTTCAGAGATGACATTTAAAAAAGGTATGCTGTTATTTTTTTTATGAAGCACAAAAATGGAAATTATAAATTATAAGTAATTAATATGACTTCTATGGTGTAGTGCAGGTTTTCTGAAGTCTTGAGTTTTTATTTTATTTTTTTAGTGAATAATGACTTGAATTTTGTTCTACTCATACAAAGTTGTTGTGGTACATTGAACACTTGGAATATTGCTCACAAAGTCAAATACTACTTTCTTCTTTTATGGTATTTTTTTTCTTTTTGGGTATTGATAGTCATGATGAATATTAGACCACCTAATTTTGTACTGTTTATGCATGACTATATTAGCAATTAGAAAGATTAGCAGGGCTCAACAAATAATATTTCTGCTTGCCATGCCAACATTTTCATGGGCCCTAACACACACACAAAAAAAAAAAAATCAAGACAGGTGGAGCTGGGGGAGGTGGAAGGTTTCAGAGGAACTCGCAGCAAGACTAGCTTACAATGAACACTAAACCAGTCTATTTAAGTGTTGAAAAATCAATCTCATTGGCTGCAGAATATGTGTCTTACTCCAATCAGCTTGTGCCATGTAGTAAACGATGTGATTGCTAGCAGATTGTTAAGGACCTATCAGCCTGACCAGCTAGAGTTTCAATGCTAAACTAGATATTTATATTTAATATTACATTTTATATTTAATAAATATTTCTAACATTTTATATATTCATATTTGATTAAATATTTATATGATTTATTATTATAATTTTTTTCATACATAAATGTAATAATTTCAACAAATTTTAAACTGCTAAAGTCATAAACACTTTTGATTGAAAATGATGGCTTACATTTTTTAAACTAGCTAATTCTTCTGACCAAATTTCACATAAGGCCAAAATATTGAATTTTGCCAGCTATAAAAATGCGTGTACATAATCCAAAAATGTGAGCTTTGATGCCAGCCTCTTTTTTGTTGATCTCTGATGAGCAATTGTTTGTTCATTTCTTTGTCTTATGTTTCTTTATTTATTAGCTGTGTGGTATAGCAGTAAAATCTGCTTGCCCTGTCATGTTGCACTGACATTTCGATGTGTTTGTGGATGGATTACTTAAAGGCTTTCCTGCATATGCTAAAAGACATACCCAGGTGATTCATATACAGTAAGCATGTTTGTGACATCCAGTAAATCTGGAAAAACAAACTATTGGAATGTTTTTCTCCTGAGTTAATATGCATGGGCAGGACAGCTTCAAGCACATTATTTTCCTCCTTCAGTTTGTGGGGTTACGAACGCATTCCTCCGCTGATACTTTCATTAAGCGCACCGGTGTGTGGCGAAAACAATTGCTGTGAGCCAATTCAGAGGTTAAGACCACCAGCCTGGGAGGTCAGTGTCAGCAGGACAGCAATGATATTTTAGCCTGCAAAGTTTATAAAACGTGCTTTGAACTCACATCTCGCACTAGGGGGTCTGTTGCATCCTACAGGAAAACTAGGGTAGAAGCGATCCGGGTCGAAGCGGTTTTGGAAGAAATAGGAAATATGTTTGAAGGGAAATACTTTCTAGATTTTGATTTTTTTTTCCGAAGAAAACAGCCATTCTCAGGCTCTCTGGAACTCAGGCCTTGTCTATGAACCTTGTCAGACCACAAAATAACTCCCCTCAAGAAAAGAGATTCAGAAGAAAATCACTCCTGTGGCCGTACGTTCTCAGATTATGATCCATCAGCAAAAACCTGTGGGACCAAAAGGACACTGTCCTCATTACAGAGATAAGGATGTGTCCTTGTTAAGAGATTGTCTAATGTTCGTTTATGACCTGGGCGCTTTATGTAGAGGTCTACCTCAGTTTCTCTCTATTCGTTTGAGAAACAGTGTTGAGACAGACTCCTTTGATCTCGGTGTGCTGTTTATGCGAGTTTAACCCTGACACCGCCTTTCTCGACTTCAAATCTCCAACTGCTGCTTAGAATAATCACAACACGTGGTGAATTAGATTAAAGATACAGAGAAAAACATCAGAAAGGATCATGGAAAGATTAGAGGAAGGAGGAAACAGGGCTCTGACAATGGTCACCGAGCCAAAAGTAAGCTCAGTGAATGAAGATAATGCAAACTCTGTTGGGCCTTAGGACTAAAAAAACTGTGGTGTTGTACAGCTTGTATGTTACATAATGCAGTTGCTACTGTTATTTCATATGGGTGGTCTTACCACATAGTTCATTTTTTATTTTTACACTGTTCTTTTTTGTTTTTGTTCAGACGTTTGAGGTCGGTAAGATTTTTAATGTTTTTGAAATAAGTCTCTTAAGCTTATCAAGTCTGCATTTATTTGATGAAATAAACAGGAATACTGTTAAATATTATTACAGTCTAAAGTAACCGTTTTCTATTTTTCAATGTAATTTATTCCTGTGATGGCAAAGCTGAATTTTCAGCATCATTACTCCAGTCTTCAGTGCCACATGATCCTTCAGAAATCATTCTAATATGCTGATTTGCTGCTCAAGAGACATTTCTTATTATTATCAATGTTGAAAACAGTTTTGCTGCTATTTTTTTTTGTGGAAGCCGTAATACATTTTTTTCTGGATTTTTTTAAACAATTGAAAGCATAAAAGAACAGCATTTCAAGTTTGTCAGTTAACATTTTCATCAGTGTGTTTGCTCATGATATTAAATATCATGTTTTTTTATCTGATTGTTATGATCTTAGGTTGTAATTAAAGAATATTGTATTTTCAGATGTTAATTCTTGTGGCTGCATCTGATGCTTTACTGCAGAAAAATTCAAAGTATATTACGGTCCATACTTTAAAGCCGTTTCTAATCAAGTTATGATGACTGTGAAATGTTCTTATCATATTCACATGCAATACATTTACAGTAATTATAGTTAAGTGTCTGTGAAACTAATGAGATTAATTTGAGGAATGTGTTTCAGCAAAGGCACATTACATGACAGTTTTCTTGAGAACTGATGTACAACTCCACTCAGCCGCAGCACAAGATTCATTAGACCCTGAGAAAGGAACAAACAGCAATTCATTGGTTCAGTTCAAATGCATGTTTTGGAGTTATATCATTAGAAACATCACAAGGATATTAAATGTGGATGCTCTGATGGGCCGTATGAGGACATGCAGTAGCTTTGACCTATTTCACACTCTAATGTTGACAGCGGCACATTTAACACCAGCATTTACACTGGAATCAACCTCAAGAAGTCTGAGATTTTGGAGTCTGAATTGCATGATTTGACTTATACCTTATGGTTTTAGCATGCTGATATCTGCATAGGAAGCATCTCACTTGAAAGTAGAGTTAATTTTGAGCTGTGAAGTAATGGCAGCAGGCATATTTCAGTGCAGATCTCACCACGCATGACAATGGTCATGTGCATTGTTGTTCATAAATGCTTAAGACCAGATATGTATTGGCTATTTAACTACGTCATAAAACAGTCAAATGGAATGAAGATCAGAATTGATATTAGATGATTAATTTGATATGGTAATCTCAAAACAACCATAAACAAAACCAGGGAGATGAGTTTCCCATCGGTCAGCATTCATCAGTCTCAGTTCAAGCAGATCTATAAACATTCCTCTGGTAATATATCATCAAATTATGCACGTGTTTTGTTTATGCTGTCTTGTGCAAGAGATTATCTGATGTAAATATTATGTGTCATTTACCACGTGGACACTCAAAGTTTTAGGAGTGGCGTCACGTTTAATGCCAGAGTGAATCCTGTAAATCAGAGGGTTTTAAGTCTTTCTTGGCCATTTTGTGTTCATCTGAGAGCCACAATTACGAAATCATGAAATATGCCATAATTACTATGTAAGTTAATTTCTTTGCTCTGTATCTCTAAAGCTATTGAAATTGCTTCCTTCTTTCACAGACTCAACAAAATGACTTTTGAACTAAAATTAAACATTTGCACATGAACACAAAGATGCTGGATATAAAGATAAAAGTCTATGTTGGAACTGATTAAACACAATCAGTAATAACCAGACTGAACTTAAAATAACCTATTTCCTTCAGAAATTTACCATGGTAACCATTATTTCTGGCAAAAATACAATAATTTCTAGCTGTTATTGCAATAAAACTGTTAAACTGAAACACAACAGTCACTGAAAATTAAATGACGATTATTAAACATGGAAATAACTTTTTATATTATTAGCAATAATTTCAGTAACT